CGTATAAGGAAGTGTGCTGAATTATTCCTCTGTGTTTGAGGTGGCAATTAAGTAACTGGAAAAGTTTTACTTAAAATGAACTTGTTTCCTATGAGGGGGCTAAAAGAATGGCCACAGCACTAAATCAGTGCATCAGGTCATGAAAAATATTTCATACTGTAATATTACCTCTTGCCATGGAACGCATAATTCAAGTTGCTTTATGGATGCTGTGAAATAATGATAATTTGCTTTATTTTTATCACTTAATAAAAATCTTCTCTCTCTTGTGCCTAGATATTTGATTTGATGGATGCCAAAGCTCGTGCTGACTGCATCAAAGAAATAGATCTTCTCAAGGTAAAAGATTTGTTTAAAAAATGTGGAGCCATCATCACAGTATATTAAGTTTTTCATAGACATACGTAAAGTGTCCACTGTTGTTTGCATACTGTTTCTATAAGCCTCACTTGAACAGTTTTGTGATCTTTATTATTTTAAAAATTAACATTGAGTAGTAATAGAAAAAATGAATAATGCTTTTAAGTAGAAATTTATGCCAAAACTGCAATATTGTGAACAACTGTGTCCTACGTACAGTAAAATCCTGCTTTTCAAAATTGACTTTGCTGTTTCAGATAACAGTTTAGCACGCTATTGGCTATTATACATGGAAGCAAAATTCCTCTAAAATTGTAATGTCAGTCGTCATGTTGATCCTAAAATGCCATCATGTTCTTGTAAAGTATTTGTAAATCCTTCTTGTAAATGTATAATTTTTGTAATTTGTATCATAGTGAAATAGATTTTAGGGGTTGTTTTGTTTGCCTAAATAAGAATGTTTGTGTCAGTCTTAATAAATACAGTGTACTCTACGCTAAAATGTGAATTATTTTTTTGCTTTCTCAGCAACTGAATCATCCAAATGTAATTAAATATTATGCCTCGTTCATTGAAGACAATGAGCTGAACATAGTGTTGGAATTAGCAGATGCTGGAGATCTCTCTAGAATGATAAAGGTAGGGATTAACTTTTTAAAAAAAGTAAGAGCTTGTAATGTTCAACTTGGGCTTTTCATTCTGCATGCTCATCAGTGGGTGAAATGCAGTGAAAATGTTGGGAACTGTAGAGCAAAATGGAGTGCTTAGACTGACTTGGTTTTTTTTAATATATGCCCAGTATTGATGCTTCTGTAAGTATTTTTAACACTGTTGCCCAGAATGTAAGTGCAGATGGGGACATAAGTAGGCTGAAGTTATACTAGTACCGGGGAGAAGAAAAAAAAGCCTGTAAAGAAAAGCACTGTCACCACCATTTAGAACAATACGTTTTAACGGCGTTCCTGATTTTTTTGGTACAGTTGTTTTGTGTTCCAATATTCTATTCTCTGTAATAGTATGGAAGCAGAGAATAACTGATGTGTGGCAGAAGTGTCTTCTAGATCTTTAACTTGAACTGCTAACCACTCTGAAAATATGTTTTGTATTTGTTTGGCATCACATGCAGTGAGCTTACTGATATGTGGTTGTGCATTATGGGTTAATTGCGCTTTTTTGAAGTTCTTAAATGCCTGTTTTTAGCTAATGAGAAACATTTATCCAAGACCCATTCTATAAACTTTTGTATTCTCAAACTTATACTAACTTTTAACTGCCTTTTTTAATCTTTCTTTGTTGTCTGACAACTACTTCCCTTCTTTCCTTTCCCTTTTTCCACTGGATCTTGGGTTTAGCATGTCCTTTTGGGGTACTTTCTTGTTGCACACCATGTTATTGCTGTCAACAGAGCACACCATCACTCTGGACACAAACAGTGCCAGTCAATGAGTGTTGACTCAGCAGCAGCCGGGCACAGAACAAAGTTATGCTGTTTTGCTACATGAATAGAGAATGTTAATTTCTTCATTAATGACTTTCATACCGATTTTTTAAAAATTTTTTTTGTTTTTGAGCTTTTGAAGCATATTCCTTTCTAAGTTGATAATTGTAAGGTAGGACAGTCAAAATTTAGTTCTAAGCAGGTTGACAGCGTCTGTTAATATTTATAGCCAAACGTGATATTTTTCTTCATCTCATAAATTATTAATTCTGTGGGCTTACATTTCATAAAACATAAAGGAAGGTTTGTCTTTTCTTTTGAATGTTCAGTTTTGACACAACAGTTATTAATATGAGTGCTCTGTGACAGATTGCCTTATGGCATGTCTGGTCTTATGACCCATTGAAGCTTTTTCTTTTTCCCTTGCTTTTTTTTTTTTATTATTTAATTTTAGATCTGGTGTGTGGCTTTTTCAGTGCAGTTGGCCTCATTATACCTTGTCCAAGTCGGTGGGTATTTCTTACAGGATCGATCTTGGAGGCACTTTGTGGTTGTCCTCTTAACACAGGGATCATGTTTAATGTAGCAGACTTAGATTGCTGTTTGATGTTAATGACAGCCTATCAGGCTGTTATTAAATATGTATGAGGTGTCACAATGCACTCTGTCTTCATGCTGCTGGTGGAGGAAATGATTTGGTAGATTACTTTGACGATGTGAGTTTAAATGTGGGGCACTCCAGTTGTGTAGCATCTTCTTAAACAAGTATTTTAAAAATTGCTTGAAAAATAAATGATAATGGTATGGAAACTTCCTAGAAGTGTGGCTGCCTGTCACACTACCACAGTAAATAACTATATTGTGTTAAGACAAGCCATGCTTTGGTTTCCAGTGTTCTTGCTAGAATGCTGTTCTGAGTTTGTTGGAAAATGTTGAGACACTCCCAGAAGAGTGTTTGGGTATCAGGCTCCTTGTGTGATTTGTAGAAGGGATCAAGTATGTTTTTGAAATTGTAAATGACCACAGCTTGAATGACACTGAAACCAAAATTAATGTGAGGGAAAACTACTTAACTAGTTTACTGGGTATTTGTTATGACTTTATTGGCACATCAGAGAATACTTACAAGGCTGCTGTGCCTCACAGTGCACCTTAATGAATTCTTTAGTTCTTCTCTTAATGAACCACATCCTTGCTGCCCAGCTTTTATATCATCCCTCTTGTTACCTGTGAATAATACTCTCTTTGTCCTCATTGAGTAGACAACTGAGGAAAATCACTTGGTGCATTCATATGCATTCTAATAGAATTCATAGAATCTGTTCTATGTCCAAAAAAAAAGCAGCTGTGCATTGGCATTTGCATATCACATAATGAAATCAGAGGTATCTCCTGTTCTCTCTGCCTCTGTGTTTATGTATGTACATACACAGATTTAATCCACTTTACCTTAATTATTTTTTTAATTACCTCTGTCACAGGGAGATGTTTCAATATAGCCTCCCTTCTCAAAAGCAGGAGGATCTGAAATTGGTGATTTCTTACCATACAGCTTTTAATGGCCTGTTAGAATTCTTGGACAGGTCAAGTCACTGAGAGGCAGACGTCAGTGAGGGGGAAATACTTGCATTTGGCTCACAGTTGATTTTTCACTAGAACTTGAACCTCAGCACAAGTTAGAAGTGTAACCCTTGTGTGGGGATGGTGAAAGAAGGGAAAATTCTTGATTTTCTGTATCTGTGAATTAGGTTGCTGGATACTATTACCTCAAAAATTGTACGGGTAAATAATTATTTACTATTGTTCTGTTTCTCAGTTGCTCAGGGTCTGTTGTTTGTTGGTGTCTGTGGTCTCTACTGAGGAACCTGTGATAGTCTGTGGCTGCCAAGGTTAAGGGTAGTTCATGAGAACTGTTGTTACCTCATAATAGCACCTCCTTGTGCAATACAATATGTTGTAAGACAGGTTTGAGGCTTTGATCCCTTTTCGTATTAGTCATGGTTCTCCTCTACCACAAGCAAGGTGAACATTTTCTGTGGATTTTTTAGTTTGGGATTTTTTTTTTTCCCAAGCAACAGTTGATATATTAGATAAAGAAAATGCCACAAATAAAGAAGAATCTACTAATTGAATTAATCAAGGAAATGCATTATAATAATTCAGTAAAAAGAACTAGTTAGTAAAGTCTGTCCTGAAGATGATGAAATAAGAGAATTTGAATTATCTTGCAGAATAATTAGCATATTATTTAAGATTAAGTGTAAGTTATTAGACTTGTAAGAAGGGATATTATCAAGACACTAAAATGTTGTTTTTTTTCTTTAACTCAGCAATAAACTTCTAGGTCTATTTAATTTCTGCAGATATTTTTAGGTTTTAGGTTCTTTCAGCAAATAATCTTAGTGCATCAAAAAAAATGCAAACTCTAAACTGAATATGTCATATAGATCTTAAGGAAGTTAAACATGTTTTGGGAACAAGTATGAAAGCTTTCATCTAAAAAATTGAAAATATGTTTCCAGCTTTCTCAAGATAGATGGAAAATAACTTGAATTCTACAAAATGTCACCTAGGACTTCACCCACTCTTCAGAAGTCACTTTTTGTGTGTATTTTTTTCAACTTTCAAATAAAGAAATAAACATACTATAATTAGCTAGGTAAAATGAGACAAATATTCTAAAACCTTTCATCAGCATGAAGTTCATATTGATACCTGAGGTTTCTGTAGTTGGGAACAGAGAGTTCTTTGTCCTTAAACTTGTTTTTTGTAGGGTAGTCAAAATACAGGGATAGTCACTTCTTTCCAAGCAGCTGATACATATCTTAATAGCTCCTTGCAGTAGCTGGAGCTCTGTTTAGACTTGTTTGAAATCTCATTGATTATCATTCTGATGTTTCACCAGTGGTGGATATTTGGGCTTCACTGTATGAAACTGCAACAGGCAGTGTCTCCCCTCCACATGGTCTGGAATGCAGACTCTCCTTCCCGTGCCAAAATATATTAGCAGTGGGATCTTTTTAAACGTCTTGCTCTGAGGTTGACTGGTGTGCCTGGGCTGCGTTTAGGGGCAGCTTGCTCTTTTTTAAGTGCTTAAAGACTGGAAGCAACATTGACCTGTAACTTTAGCAGTTGTAGGAGATAGTTGGTGTTCCTGTTTGAAAGGCTGGTGGGAAAAATGATGTTTCCTGCGTATTTTGAATGGCAGTGTTGCAGAAAGTGTTTTCTGCCATGCACACACATGTATAGCAGGACTGTTTGCTGCTAGGATTGCCAGATATTTAGCTGTGTGAGTGGGTTTTCAGTTTGTCAAAATACAGCAATTTTGTGCTAAAATATTTCATGCCAACATTTCATTTTAAGATCTAGCAACTATTGAATCTGAAGTATTCTAATCCCCTTGTGCCTTGAAACAGAAGTAAAACTTGGAAAGGGGATTTTTCTTACAATAATGGCTGTGAAAACTCACCTAAACATAAATTCTTCTAACATGCGTGTTTAACAGAAATTGCTGGGGCAAAGTAGCCAAGTGGAGAATTTCTGTGTGTGTAGAGCTGTCTGAATCTTTTGCATCCCTTGGTGCTGACAGCACTGCCTACAAGCTGAGTAGCTATCAGTGCTTTGACCTATAGTATGGGTGACTGAAATGGCATTGCCAGAAATAGCTTTTTCCAGATGCTTTGGATGGGCTGAAGCTTTCCTGCCTCTTGGAGGGTATTTATTCTTTCTAATGGGGAAGGGAGTAATCTGAGATGAGTGTGAAGAAGACAAAAGATGAGGCAGACAGGAGTAGACTGGGACAAACAGCTAAGTAATCCTTAAGTGAGGAGAGAGAGAGGATCTGACTGGGAATAAGGACGACAAGTACACCTCTATGAGCTGGTTTGCAGTGTTTGAGAGAAGGTAGACAGGAAAGTTATGACACAAGGAGTAGACTGAGGAGTGGAAGAGAATTAATATAAGAGTACTGGACTGGGAAACTATGAAACGGGGTTTCCAATACTAGGGATGAGCACAGGGAGATTAGAGAAGAGCTAATGTGTTGCCAGTGAACAGGACTTACTGGGCAAGGATCCTAGAGATAGACAAAGGGGCTGCCAACAGGGAGAGAGCCTGGATGGGATAACTCGAACTGGCTGGGAACAGGATGTGTTGTGACTCAGTGTTGAGGGTACAGCTACTCTGTGTAGAAATCATTGTG